CAGGCTCATGGCCCGCTGGCACCATCCCACCAGCCTGACCCCCCTCCTTGCCCTCTCTCCAGCCGCTCCTGCCCTTTATGGCACCATCCAAGGAAAACCCCGGTTATCAGCAATGGCACCTGTGGGACGGCTGCAAGGCTCGAGTGTGCCAGGCAAGAGCAGGAGCACAGAGAGCCTGAGGAGCCAGGAGATGCCCTGGCTGGGCATCGTGCTGCTGTGGGACGAGCTGACCCCTCTGCACAGTCTGTGCCGTCCCTGCCAGCCAAGTTCTGCCCAGGCTCTGTGCACGGGGACGGAGCGCTGACAGTTTTCAGCCCCCGCGCTGTTCCACAAAGGCTGGGATGGCACAAGGCCCTTGCCTGGCACCCAGGAGATGGGCAAGGCAAGGCAAGGACGGAGCCTCTGAGCCACCAGCACGCTGTCCCAAAGGCTGGGATGGCACAGAAGTCCAGAATCCATGAGGTTGGCAGAGACTTCTGAGGTCAACCGGCGTCCAGCCTACGACCCATCCCCAGCACGTCAAGCAGACCACGGCACTGAGTGCCATGTCCAGCCTTCCCTTAAACACCTCCAGGGACGGTGACTCCACCACCTGCCTGGGCAGCCCATGTCAATACCTAATCCCTGTTTCTGCCCAAAAATTCCTGCTCCTGTCCCTGACAAACACCCCCTGACAGGCAGGTCCTCGTATCCTCTGTATACTTTTGTGTACATCTGGTGTGTGTAATGGGTCAAAGAGGGGATCCCATGAGCAAATGAGGCAGGGTGGTCTGGCATTATATTTGTCATTCCAGGTTTAAATTAACCTTTGCTTGATCCAATAGATGGGTGAGGGGATTCAATTTGAGGTAAGATGGTTACATTTACTTTTGATCCCATATTTTCCCTGTGACCAGTTCCCAGGAGAGGTTCCTTTGGTTTCCACTTCTAACAGTCTGTTCTGCTGAGTACATGGACAAGGTAAATAACCACACAAACACAACTAACAGATGATAACCACAGTTACCAGTGAACTGGACCAGAGTCCAAACCTGAGGTTTTTCATTCCCTGTTCTGAATCCTTTTCTCTGAACAATTCCCTGTAAAAGAAAAGAAAAAGGTCTATCTGACCCCTTTTAGGGCCAACATTAAATTGTAGGAACAATCCCCTGAGAGCTTATTTTGTATTCTTTGCCATGAGCGTCTTTTGCTTTCCAGGTGTCCCTGTCCAAGGGAGGACCATTGGTACAGCTCCTACAGAAGGCAGTGCCACCAATACAGGCTGGCCAGGAAGGGGAGAGGATTTTTGATCACCCTCAGGCCTCAGTGCACCCTTTGAACACAGCAAAAGAGTCAGAGGGTTCAGCTTCCTGTTTAAATCCCCTCCAAACTGCTCCTGATTCTCCTGCCTGTGCCCTGCCTTCTCCTTCAGGGACTGTTTTGTCTCCTGGATGTCCCTGTAAAGCCACAGCACGATATTTCCAAACTGCCCCTTCCCGCTCAGCTGAGCCATCAGGAAACCCCCCATCCTGCAATTGCTCTGAGTGTGGGGGTGCCCCTTGAACCACAGAAGGGGGAGAATCAGCTGTGCTATTTACAGTCTCCTCATCTTGTCAGGGAGGATTTTTGTGAGCTCCTTCTGTTCCCTGAAAGATGGTGCAATAATGTTCAATTTGAGCCTTCCATTTCCCAACAGGAGCTGGCTGGGCCACCCTGTCAGGGGTGGGGTTCCTGTCAGAACAGGCTTGATGGCCTTAAAGGGTCCCCTTCAAATCAGAGACTGCTGAGGGACAATTTTTTCTGGTCTAGGCAGGTGAGTGTGTCTGGGGGGGATACAAACCATTCCTCCCTTCCACCAAATCCCCAGGAATTTTACCTCTTGTGAAGGAGGTTGTACCTTGTCAGGAGGGACATGCAAGTCCAGGGACTCCAGATGCCTGATCATGTCTGTTTGGGTGGTTTGCACAGGTGCAATTTCATTTCCTGCTGCCAAAATGCCCTCAGTATATTGGTGCACTGTTACTGCTGGTGCAGGAGGAACGAGGGGCAGTTGCTGTGCCAGGGCAGGATGTGCTGGAGTGCTGGAATAGAAGCCCAGATGTTTCCTTCCTCATCAGCCCAAGCCCTTCCTTTCAGGAGGTCCAGCCCCAGTAAATGAGCAGGAAGTTTACACCAAATCATCAGGGTTTCACCTGCTTTCTCCTCCCCTGGTCAGCAGCATCTCACCTTTGGTGTTCTGGTGCATTTCCAAAAGCACCCACAACAAATGTGCCTTTCTGTGAGGGAGTGATTCCACAGGCAGATGCACCTTCAGTGTTCAGGGCAGACCCTGGAGTGCCAGGACCTACCAGAAAAGTGACAGGGGTTTTGTGGGGACCGATAGGACAGGTTATTAACAAGTGTCCTTTGGAATTTTTGGGGAGCCATCCGATGTCAAACCACCCTTGGTGCCCCAGCTCAGCTCCTGGGGACAAAGAGAGGAGTTTCCTGTCCCCTCCCCTTGCTGTGAGCCCTCCAGGGCAGGGGCTGCAGCAGGGACAGCTTTCAGGGATCCCTCCTTTGCTGCTCACTCTTGCATTAATATCTCTAATTTCTCCCTGGGTTGGTCATCCCTTAGGGATTTGGGAATTTCATTTTTGCAAGCCCACAATCCACAGGGGATTCCTTTTTTCCCATGTCCTCCAGTGCTGGTGGGTCCTCCTTGTCCAGGGCAGAACGTTTCCTTTCAGAGTATTGCTGGAGGAATCCTTGTTTTGCATTCTGTGCCCAATTGATTGAGAATCAGTAGTAATTGAAGGTCCTGGACCACATTTTCTTCCCTAATTAATTAATTCCTGTGCCACCTCCCCCCAGGTCCAAATCTTATTTTCTCCAGCAGTAAGGACTGGGGGTTAAAGCTGCTTCTGAGGGGGCTGCAGTTCTTTCCTCTTTGCTGAGGCTTTCTATGTGTCCTTTGAACTGAATGCCAGTGGGTTTCACAGCCCCTGGGAGACCTCTGAGAAGGGCAATCATTCTTTCAGGGTCTGCAGGCAGCATCACAGGGGATTCAGAGCTTGGTGCTCATTCCCTGTCACCCATCATTTGTAAACAAGCAGCCTTTTGCTCACTTTCCACAATCTGATGAACATTTCCCACGGTAGCCAGGGGATCTCCCCTTTCCAGGGGGCTGAGTCCCCCTGCCCAATAGGCTGCTCTTTGGGGAAGGGACCAGGGCCCACGAGAATCTCCTGTGGTCAGGAAAACTCCGGCTCCCCAGAACCCTTCAGCCTCTTTTGCTGATACCAACATTTGGTCAGCCCCAGTAAGAGAGACTCTTCAAACATATTCAGATCCTTGAGGGGTTCTGCTCTATTCCTTTTTTAACTCATCTGATTCAGTCGCTGTCTGAGGAACTTCTTTTGCAGTTATTTGAGGGGTATCGTCATCCGAGCCCTCCTCTGTGTATTCTGTTTTAATGAGGGGACGGAGCGACACCGACAGCTTTTCCCCTTGATCCCGCAAAGGTTTGAAGTCAGAGAGGGGGATGTTTCTTTAGAGGACTCCAGCTGTGACTCCCTTCTCCCTTCTCTCATCAATCTCGCCTACAGCTGCTCTCGGAGCGGCCCTTTCGTTCCTCCTCTGTCCCCGGAGGACACTGCAGCAGCCGCTCGTTCCTCCCGCGGATCTGCCCAGATTGCCCCGCGCAGTCCCGAGTTCCGCGCTGGTTCTTTCGCTGCCGCAACTACAACTCCCGTGGTTCCCCGCGCGGGGCGGGGGCGGGGCTGGAGGGGCGGTGCCCGCTCTCTGATTGGCTGCGGCGGGGAGGTTTAAAGACGGCGCGCGCGCCCAGCGCCATGTTGTGCAGCAGCGATCCAGGTGAGTGAGATGGCGGCTGCGGGGAGAGCGGGGTTGTTAGAACTGGTGAACTGTGGAAAGGCTGGAGGGCTCGGGAGGGTTTAGCGGGGGGGTTCGGGGGCTCCCGAAGGGCGGAGCGCGGCGATTGAAACCCTGTCTGGGGCGGGGAGAAAGGGGGTGCTCTCCCGGCGATGTGGCTTAAATGCGCAGGCGCAGTGGCCATGAGGGAACTGCAACCCCCATGAGGCTTTGCGCAGCGCCGCCATTCCTGCTGCAGCTACAGCGTCCCTTGCCGGCCCGGCGGACCGAGTGCAGGAAAGGGGGTGCTGGTGCCCCCCCCTTCGAGCCCCAGAGACCCCCAAAACTCATCACACAGAGACGGCATAGGGAGGGGGGGTCAGAGAGTCCCCTAAAGTCCAGTAATGGGGTTCAGGGGGTCCCCCAGCTCCCAGGGAAGGGGTCTTATGGGTGCCCCCCGAAGTCTGGGGGGTCGATGTACCACATTCAGGTAATGGGGGCCCAGCAACCCCAGTGTAGCCCAGTGACCTCCCACTGCCCCCCCGTATGGCCCAGTAATCCTCCAGTGAGCACCCAGGAACCTCCAGTATGGCCCAGTAACCTCCTAGTGTCCCCCGTGTGTCTGGTAATCCTCCACTAATAACCCAGTCCCTCCCAGTGCCCTCCCAGCATCCCTCAATAACCCCCCAGTCCCTCCCAGTGCCCCCTGGTTCCCCCCAGTGTGTCCCAGTATCCCCCAGTAATCACCAAGTTCCCCCCAAAGCCTCCCAAGTGTCCCCAACGTGTCCCCAGATGCTCTTGACCTTTCTGTGAGTGTGGGGGGATGGGGCCATTTTGGGGGTCAGAGGGTCCAGGGGGGCCTTCTGGGGGGAGATGGAGGGTTGGGGACAGTGGGGAGGGGTTTGGGGACAGAGGAATGGGGGGTTTCAACGGGGGAATTGGGGCCATGGGGAGGCCCTGGGGACACTGGAGATCCCAGGGGGTTCTCGGGGTGCCAAGGGGGAAATTGAGGACAACAGGAGGGTCTTGGGGACACCATGAGGGTCTCAGGACTCACCTGCTCGTGGTGCTGCCCCTCCTGTCCCCACCAGGCCCCAATAAGTCCCCACAAATGTTTCCTAACCCCTATTTTTCATTTAATCACCCCCCCCCAGATCCCTTTTACCCCCCAATGCTCTCAAGACCTTTTTTAATTCCCCCAAATGCACCCAGAGGCCCCCAAAATGCCCCAAATCCCAATCAAACCCCCCAGAGAGGGATCACCCAGCACCTTGGGACAGGAACACAGTGGCCTGTACTGGGGGTACTGGGCTCTACTGGGAGGGCACTGAGGGGGCACTGGGCTGTACGGGGAGAGCCCCAATCCCCAAAGCCCCTCCCCTGGGCATTCATGCCACGGTCTGGGAACCATGGCAGGGTTGGATCAAGGGGTGCACTTGATGATCTGGGAGGTCTTTTCCAAGCCGGCTGATTCTGGGATTCTCTGGGTGCCATTGCCAGGGCAGCACATCCTGGAGGCTCTGTCCACAGGGGATAGATGTGTCTGTGCAGACAGAGAGACAAGGTCAGTCTGCAAAGATGTGGGGTTAGAAAAGCAGGAGAAGTTGTGGGGTGGTTCCTGAAGGAGAAAGAAGCCCCCAGGCCAGTGCAAGCAGGCCCCCCTGGGCTTGCACATCATCTGCCCTCCCTGCAGGTTCCTGTCCTGGAGAGCAGGCCCTGAGGTGGCCCTGAGAAGAAGTGGAAGGCAGAGGTGGTGCTGAGGCAGGAGAGCCCCGTGCTGGGGAAGAGGCTGAGCTGGGAGTGCCCAGCAGCGAGAAGGTGCTGTGTCCATGCCCTGTGTGCCAGGTGAGCTGGGGCTTTGCTGCAGAGCTGCGGGCGCTGATTGGAGCGGCTGAGGCTGCTGAGCTGGTGGCACCCAGGAACACAAAGTGTGCCCGGCCACGGAGCCTGCAGGGAGGAGCAGGGACAGCACTGGCACTGTGGGGACACAGATTGTTCCTGTGCCTTCTCCTGCAGGCCCTGCCTGTCCCAATGGAAAAGGGGCAAGACAAGCAAAAAGAGCGTGTGGGACCCCCAAAGGGAGCACAAGGGGCGGGGGGGTCACCCCCAAAGGGAGACAGGGTTTGGGGGCCGATGGGAGAGTGGGGCTAAGGGGAGTGAGGAGAGCCCTGCTCTTGTTGCCCTGGGACAGCCTCTGGTGTCCTGCTGACTGTGGGGCTGTTTGGTTGCCTTGGGCACAGCCAGGCCTTGTGCCTGAATCTCGGTGATTTGGGCTTTTCTGGGTTGAATGGTGATGTTTTGGAGGTTTTTATGGTCCCAGGATGCCCGGTGAGTTCTGGAGGTGGACTTGGGCAGGAGGAACCCCCAAGCTAACGTGCTCAGCCCTTGTTTCCCCCCAGCAGGATTTGTCCTTCCCAAAGCTTGGGCAGATGGAGGAGGAGGCTGCAAGGAAGACGAAGATGCTGCGGGTCCCCCAGGCCGGTGAGGGGGACGTCAGTGCCCCTTTGGCCCTGTTGTGTGGTGTATCTGTTGAGCAGCCTCCCAGCAGGGAGAAGCCCTTCAGGTGCTTGGAATGTGGGAAGAGCTTCAGGCAGAGCTCCCACCTCCTCAGCCACCAGCACATCCACACTGGGGAACGGCCCTACACGTGTGGGGAATGTGGGAAGAGCTTCAGTCAGAGCTCCAACCTTATCCGACACCAGCGCATCCACACTGGGGAACAGCCCTACACATGTGAGGAATGTGGGAAGAGCTTCAGAGACAGCTCCAACCTGATCCAACACCAGCGCATCCACACTGGGGAACGGCCCTACACGTGTGGGGAATGTGGGAAGAGCTTCAGAGACAGCTCCAACCTCCGCACCCACCGTCGCATCCACACTGGGGAACGGCCCTACAAGTGCTTGGAATGTGGGAAGAGCTTTGGTGATGGCTCCAGCCTCCACACCCACCGGCGCATCCACACTGGGGAGATGCCCTACACGTGTGGGGAATGTGGGAAGAGCTTCACTGATAGATCTACCCTGATCAAACACCGTCGCATCCACACTGGGGAACGTCCCTACAGGTGCTTGGAATGTGGGAAGAGGTTTCAGACCAGCTCACATCTCCTCGTGCATGAGCGGATACACACAGAGGAGAGGCCCTTCCGCTGCACCGACTGCGGGAAGGGCTTCAACCGGAACTCCACCCTCGTCACCCACCAGCGCCTCCACACCGGGGAGAGGCCCTACAAGTGTGGGGAGTGTGGGAAGAGCTTCACCCACAGCTCTGCCTTGACCAAACACCAACGGACCCACCAGTAACGAGTGCCCCGACTGTGGGAAGAGCTTCGGCTGCTGCTCCCACCCCGAATGACCCCCCTGATGGTGAGGCAACCCCTGGAGTCCAGGGACTGTCAGTCCATCCCTTTCTACCACAAAGGGCCAGTCCCCTTTGCCAGGGGCAGGTTCTGCCAACAGAACCCTTCTTGGGGGTGTGTGGAGATTCCTGCCTTGGCTGGGACCCCCCAAGGTCACTGCTGGAGGTTGAGAGCAGAGATCTCCCCATGAGCATTGGTCTGGGGGAGTTCCATGATTTCTAATTCATAATTCTTGCTTTGGTGCCAGCTTGAGTAGAATTGCTTCAACAATTGCTTTAGTGTAGAGCACTGTCCTATCTTATGCTGTACTACTGGTAATTTTGGTGTTTCTATTGTGCAGTAAATAATTCTGATGAAGATCTTTTATCTGATAATTTGCAACCCTAAATAATTAATTTCTATCAATAGATCTGATTTGCCATCCTTAAAACCTGGGGTACAAAAGTGTTTCAGTCACACCCCTGTAATTCCTCTAAACTGAAACTGTTGGCATAACCCAAGGTTGAGATTGGATCCAGCAGTCCCCAGCACCCCACAGTAAGGAGGTCAAAGGAGGGCCACCCCCTTTGCCCAATCCCCGTCTGCCCAATGTCCCCCATGGGACCATCGGACCTGCCAGACCACCCCTCCCTTTCCACCCTTCTCCCTGTTCCTCCCACTTTTTCATGGTCCTCTTAATACCTAGTTTACCCCACGAACAGTGTGGGCTCTGAAGGAGAAAATGAGGCTGCACACAGAGTTCCATTTCAGGACTTGTCCAACAACACTTTTCAGTATCCCCTTTTATTGCTGTTCCCTCAGGAGCAGCACCTGCTGTTTGTCTTTCAGTGCACTGGAATTCCCAGGATCGCCCCAAAGCAGAGCCCTGATCCCACACATTGCCCTCCCCTCATGTGGGGGCTGTTCAGCCACCAGAGAAAAACACAGGCTGGTCCTGCAGGCTGGTCCCAGTGCATTTGCACTCGGAGAAACAACCTTGTCTCTCTCCAAGCACTCAGCCAAGGTGGCTCCTCCCTTTGCACCCCCATTCCCTCAGTGCAGGTGCAGAGTGACTCCGCCTGGTCCCACCTCTGCCCTGCTTTGTTTGCACACGCAGAGTTCATGGTCAGGAGGGTCAGGATGTGATACATGGAGAGTGGATACGTTTTCATCTGTGATACAACTCAAACAACCAGGATTACTGACAGGGATGGTCAAGGCATTGTCAGTCACACCAATCCCAGCGTCAGGTGTGGCCAAGAAGGCCCCTGAGTGACAGGTCCAGCCATGGCTGAGCCGTGAGGCCGGTCAGTCAGAGTCAGCAGACACAGGGAATTACCCCTGGAACAGCATCTGCCCCAGGTGCCATCCGGGCAGGGCTTGCTCTGCTCAGCATTCCCTGCCTCCTCCCGGCATTCCTGAGGGAGCCTCTGCATCTGCACAGTGGGATTGCGGGCCGGGCCCACTCAGGACAAGGGGCCATCCGAGGAGCTGGAAGCCAGCAGGGTCCTGGGGGAGACAGAACACAAGCAGAGCCCTTCCCATGCTGAGCACTCGAGAGGGCCTTGTCATCAGGTGTCTGCTGGGGGGTTTTTGTTCAATACTTGTCAATTCAAATTCAAAAAAACTAAGGGTAAACACAGCTTTGTCTACTTGGGGTGTCACATTCCCCCTTTTTTGTTTTGAAAGTGTTGGTTTTGATGCAGAGCACACATTTCTTGCAGGTGGAGTAGGCACAATTGATAGAACCATATTTATGGGTTTTTTTCTGTTTGTTTTTTTTTTTTTTATTTTTCTTTCTTTTTTATTTCTTTTTTCCTTTTTTACTTTTTTCTTCTCTTTTTTCCTTTTTCTCTTTTTTCTTTTTTTTTTTTCCATTATTGTTTTTTCTCCTTTTTACTTTCTTTTATCTTGTTTCCTTTTTATTTTTACCCCGTTTTCCTTTTTTCTCTTTTTTCCTTTTTTCTTTTCCTTTCTTTTTTCTGTTTATTTTTTCCTTTTTTTCTTTTTTCCCTTTTTTCCTTTTTCTTTCCTTTTTTTTTCTCAGTTTTCCTTTTTTCTCTTTTTTCCTTTTTTCCATTTTCTTTCTTTTTTTTTCTGGTTTTTTCCTTGTTCCTCTTTTCTCTTTTTTCTTTTTTTTTTCTTTTTCTTTCCTTTTTTTCTGTTTTTTCTTCTCTTTTTCCATTTTTCTTTTTTTTTTTTGTTTTCTATTTTCTTTTTTTTTCTTTTTTCCTTTTTTCTGTTTTCCTTTTCCTTTCTTTATTTTTCTGTTATTTTTTTCCCTTTTTTTCTTTTTTCTCTGTTTTCTTTTTTCTTTCCTTTTTTTCTGTTACTTTTTTCACTTTTCTTTTTTCTCTTTTTTCGTTTTTCTTTCCTTTTATTCTGTTTTTTTCTTTTTTCTCTTTTTTCCTGTTTTCTTTTTTCTGTTTCTTTTTTTCTGTTTTTTTCCTGTTTTCCTTTTTTCTCTTTTTTCTTTTTTCCTTTTTTTTCCCATTTTTCCTTTTTTTCTTTTTTCTTTTTTTTTTCATTTTTTTCTGTTTTTCCCTTTTTCCTTCTTCTTTTTCCTTTTTTTTCACTCTTTTTCCTCTTTTTTCTTTTTTATCTTTTTTTCTCTTTTTCCATTTTCCTTTTTTTTTTCCACTCTTTTTTCTTTTTTTTCTTTTTCTTATTTTTTTCATTTTTTTTATTATTGTTGTTTATCTTTTTTTTCATTTCTTTTTCCTCTTTTTTCTTGGTTTTCTCTTTTTTTTTTTTTCCTTTTTTTGTTGTTTTTTTTCTTTTTTTTCTTTTCTTTTTATTCTTCTTTTTTCTTTTTTTTTTCCCTCTTCTATATTTTTTTTTCTTTTTCTTCTTTTTTTCTTTTTTTGTAATTTTCCCTTTTTTTTTCCTTTTTTCTCCTTTTCCTTTCTCTTTCTTTTTTAGATCTTTCCTTTTTTTTCGAATTTTCCCTTTTTTTTTCTTTTTTTCTCCTTTTCCTTTCTCTTTCTTTTTTAGATCTTCCCTTTTTTTGGAATTTTCCCTTTTTTTTTCTTTTTTCTCCTTTTCCTTTTTCTTTCTTTTTCTTTTTTCCTTTTCCTTTCTTTTTTTTTTTGTAATTTTCCTTTTTTTCTATTTTTCTTTTTCTCTTTTTCTTTCTTTTTTTTTTTTTTTTTTTTTTTTTTTGTCTTTTTTCTCTTTTTTCCTTTTTCTTAGTTTTCTTTTTTCTATTTTTTTTTGCTTTTTTCTTTCTTTTTTCTTTTTTTTTTGTAATTTTCCTTTTTCCTTTTTTCCTATTGTTTCTTTTTTCTCTTTTTTTCCTTTTTTTCTTTCTTTCCTGTTGTTATTTTCCTTTTTTTCTATTTTTTCTTTTTACTCTTTTTTCTCTGTTTTCCTTTTTCTTTCATTTTTTTCCTGTTTTTCTTTTTCTTTTTTTTTTTCAATTTTTTCATTTTTTCTTTTTTTCCTTCTTTTTTCCTTTTTTCCCCTTTTTTTCTTTTTTTTTTTTTTTTTTACATTGTTTTTTATCAATTATATTTTCAAGGAAGATTTAATCACATCTCGAAACAATCTCCATGTCCATATCTTAGGACAACAGATAATCTGACTCCAAGGGTGCAAGCAAAGCAACTTCCTGCCGTCCCTTGGGATAACATTCCATGCCCAGCGAGCCCTGGATTTCTGCAGAGCCGCTGGGCAGGAGCAGCAGATGGAGCAGCTGCTCCAGCCAAGGGCAAACCCCCCACCCCCCACTGTGGTTACAGACAGTGCCAGCACATCCTCGTACCCCAGGAATCACGGGAACGCTCTGGGATAACAGGTTTGGGAACAGGGAGTGTTGAGCAGAAGAAAATCCCAGCAGGGGGAAGAGCAGAAGAGAACAGGAGATAACGAGCAGACTCCAAGGTCAGTGCAGTGGGGAGGGGGGGACAAGGGGGACACAGGGACCCCCCTTTCCTCTCAAGCAGGGAAAGACAGAGCTGAAGGCCCTGCTGCTGGTAGAGCCCATTGGGGTGCAGAGACCTCTCCCCTGCAGCTGCTGGAAGAGCCCCCGCTGGAACTGGGGGCTGTGTGACTCCGTGGCAGGCCCAGGGTGGAGCAGAGTCCTGCTGGGGACCTGTGGCCCCTGCAGAGAAACCCCCGCGCTGCAGCGACTCGTCCCGGGTAGGACTTGTGAGCCTGGGAAGGGACTCACAGAGGGGCAGTTCCTCTGGGAAGGACTGCACCCCATAGAGGAGGGACCCAAGGGGCAGCAGAGCAGCAAGAACTGCTGCCCCAGGGAGGGACTCACGCTGGAGAAGCCCATCAGGGACTGTCTCCCGTGGGAAGGGACCCCACGGAAACAGGGGAAGGACTCAGAGCCATCACCCCCCCTGTAGCCCGGGGGGAAGACTTTGGTCATGCAGGTTGTGCCCCTGCAGACACAGAAGAGCATTGGAGTGCAGAGACCCCTTCACCCCCATGGAGAAGGGACCCCCAGGACAGTGGATTGGGAAGAGCTGCGGTTCAAGAGATGGACTCACTTTAACAGCGGCAAAAGCAACATCTGGCTGGGACCTTTTTGCCCTTCCCCGACCTCTGCCCTGCTGGGGGGAGGAGGGAGAACATGCAAGGAAGGAGGGGGAGAAGGTGTTTGTTTAGGACTGGTTTATTTCTCACTTTTTAATTTTTATCCTGTTAGCAACAAATTTAAGTTCTATCCCCATTTGGAGTCTGGTTTGCTCATTAGTAAATGAGTCTCTCAGTTCTTATCTCTACTCAGAAATTCTTGAACTGGTTTGTTGTTCTTTTTTTTTCCTCTCCTCTGTGGAGCTGCAGAGAAGGGGGGAGTGAATGGAGCAGCTCTTGGTGGGTATTTGAAATCCGGCCAAGGTCCAACCCCCTCCACCCCCACTATGGTTACAGACAGTGCCAGTACAGCCTGGTCACCCCAGTCATTCCCAGTCACTCCCAGTTGCCCTGGGAAGGGCAGAGACAAAAAGGGACATTGTCATCAAGGGCAAAGAACATCTTTGACTGCAGGGCAGGACATCCTCTTCAGCAGACCTGTGGAGACACAAATATCCCAACTCTGCCTCGCAAGTCACGGGTGAGGTTCCTCATGGAGACATTTGACAGAGGCAGCAGAGACACAGAGGATGATCCTGCTCAAAGGCAACCCTCCAAAATCCCAAGAGCAGAAATTCCTGAAGGATTACAACAGGCAAGGAAAGCAGCACTGGAGAAAGGAGCAAGTCAAGGCAATGCAATGTGAACTTCAGGAGCCAGGACCTCTCATACAACTGTTTATCCTGAGCCTCCTCTGGCAGTCCAGCCTTCAACTGATGACAAAACAGAGCATGATCCAAAACCATCACATTTGAACCCAGTGGCACAAAGGGTTGGTGTTCATCTTCAGGCAA